ATCACAGATAATATATGCATAGATGAGCTTCTGAACCAATATTTCACAAACAACAATTATCCAATAGAAAGAACCTGTTCATGTTGTGACAGTCAGTATTGTATAGAATATTTTGATGAGCTATAAACCTGAAAAAAACTTTCAACCTATGTAAACTGAAATGTGTTGCTTTTGATGATGAACTAACGCAGGCTGTGCTTTCTTTAACCACAAAAAATATTGTGTAAATGTGTAGCACAGGAACCTCCCAATCTGTGAAACTGGGCCACCTTGGACCCTCTGAAAGACTGTCAGTCATACCAAATAGTTAATTTCTGGGTTTTTGAATCTCTTTGGATGCTGCTCTTTCAAAGTGGTGGTAAAATCTCTGACCATAGATTATTAGAGCAGTACTTTAGAAGAGGGTTTATAAAAAGCTTTGAGAATTGCACTTGACCTTTTCTGGCAATCTCTTTGAAAAGTTTCAGCTCTAACAAGCCAACAATGTAGCCAACTCCTCAGACTTACAGTAGTAATGCTCATCTGAGAGGTCACAGCTAGTTCTACTGATTCCAAAGATATAACTTATTAATAAACTTTATTTTTATATTATCTATCATTCTAAACACATAGACATTCTGTTTCTGTTTTCTGTTAGTACTCTTTAGTTATTGCATAAAAAAGATGTTAGTCACATATAAAATTATACTCCAGTAAAAATACACTATTAAGCATATCTTCCCATTTAACATTACACCCAACATGTATAATCCAAGGGCTACAGAGTTAGGCTTTATGTCTGAAATTGTAAAAGAGTACAGCAGGGATGAATGTGCATGTGCTGCAACAGCTTCAACAATTTGTTCGGTTGTGAATGACAGTCCCCTGTACATGTTCAATTGTATCCCAACCCACAATCTGAGAGGAGATAAGTGTCAGAGAGCCTCTGAAGTAGTCATATTTCATGAGTAAATAGGGCTATGAGTCAGTTGTTGTTTGCACTCAGAAATCGATGATGGACTGATTTCTAATTGAGGGTGTTTCCAAGCAATAAATGTCAACTAAAAGAGAGCTATCTCTGAAAATGGCAGGGCTGTTGAATGTCTGTTTCCAGCTCTGAAAAAGAACAGACTTATTAAATATTCAAACATTATTACTTTAGCATGAGAAGTTCTCAAAATAAAATGTATAATTTATATACTGATAAATATGTTATATATGATTTATATATACAATAAAGGGCATGTACTTGTGTATGCCTTTAAAGTTTTTACACTTAATTCAGTCATTCATACAAACACTGGAGGTAAGCTGTAGCCACAGATATTTTGGGGCAGACTGACCATTAAGAGGTCTGCTCAAGTACATAAAGGCTGAGATTAATGGAATAGGGGCTTGAACCGGCAACCCATCAGTTACAGAATCACTTCTACCACTTGACCCACTCAGACAAATTTCTTAGCCACTGTTTAAAGGTGGAGATTATTCAACAAACTAAATGAAACTTAAAATCAAGATTGGTGAAAAATAAATTAGTTTATAGATGTTCTTATGTTCCATCTACATAAAAAATCATACATACAGGCTCAAATACATGCATCTATCCCTTCTAATAATTGCTCAAATGTCTCTTAGCGAGTCACGACTCAAACACACGCTTTTTGAACCTATTAACATAATGTAGCTATATGTCTGTCTTGATATCGGGCCAGTCCTCAGTGCAGAAATTGTAGGGCTCGGTTGGACTGGTGATTTATTATTTCTAGTATGTCCAGCTCTTTAGCATCTGCCTGCCAACTTACTATGGAGTTAATATTGGCATGCTTATTTTTTGTTCTTTTGGGATCATTATTAGGTTAGGTTAGTTTAGGTATTATTAGGTAGATTTACATCTGCATGCTCAGACTATGCAGTCTGCTCTAAAAGGTTTTCTCGATAAAGTTAATTGGAAACAAAATTTAGAGAATTTGGCAACAAAGACAAAAGTAACATTTGAATGAGTTTGTTTGAGGCTTTCAAACCGTAAAATACTATAGAGTATATTGGTGGTAGCATCATGCTGTGGGTTTTTTTTGTTTTAAGGGCTCCTGTCACATTGCACACAAATTATTCAACTTCAAATCAAAATTACAGCTAGATGATTGAAACTCAAATAGAGCTGGTAGTGACATGAGGGTCAAAAACCTTTGTCTTATCATTATCTAATATCTAGTAAGTTCGGACTTTATCTTTGATTTCTAAAGATAAACCTATTTATTTTTACTGGTTACCTGTATCACTCAGTTTAATTAGTCATTTTTCATTTTGAGTTTAATGAAAGTAAGCATGTAGCCTCCATGAGGCTGTAGGTTGCCCTGCCCCTCTTCATTAGTCACTCCAACTTACATCCAGTGGCAGAAGGAATAAATTCTAAGGTTTTTTATGCTTAATCCAGCAATCAGTCTAAATTGAAATGTTATCACCCTGGCTATAGTTCATAAGAGTTTTATAAATATGGTTTTAAGTTCCCATCTAAGTGTTTGAGCTTAAAACCTGAATGCCTACCTTCACTTTTCTCTGAGCCTATTTTGTCTTACCTATACAGAAACAAACAATTGTACACATTTAGAATAAGAAAATTATTTAAATGGAAAATGTTTTGGCTGAATCTTTGACATTTATTACAAAGCTGAACTAGTACTGAGCTGCTCAATGTCATCATATAAATCAAATTAGGAAAACTGTTTTAAAGACTGTTTAGGTCCAAATATTTATTTATATGAAGCATTTTGCAAAATCTAATTTTTGAATAATCCTGGAAGGGTAAGAATTCAGTTATTCTTAAGGGGAATATTTATAGATTCACAGAGATGTGTATGAATATTTAAAGCTTAACCTGAAAAATACAGTTTTTATCAAAATTTTTAGCCAAAAACTGTGTTCTGAGGACCTTAAGAGGCGCTGCTATTTGTTATCTAATCCCAGCCGCATTTTGGAGCGTAACAACCAATTTTCTGTGTCCGCTTTGAGTGCAGACATAAGCCAAAGCTGGCTGTACTCTGACCAGTGGCTGACTCTCCATTCATTCACAATCCCTGGCAGACGGCACCCTCCTATTTGCGTGCAGCTGGACCCTTTCATTATTTACACTTGAAATGATAATGGCATCATGTGCGCACAGCTGCAATATTTGCATCCACACGAAATGATGCTAAATTTGTGTGACTAAAGCGAAGCTGATCCTCCAGCAATATTTCTATGCTAACTACATTCAGATGTGGAGGTTTTCTTCTAGCTTGGCTGAAAGGCAAACAAACACAGTACCTTCAAGAACCCAGGGAAAAGTGGTTCAATGTCATGTCTTTAGAATTAGAAAAGTGAAACTAATTCTTTGGAGCCACAGCACTGTGTAGGGATGAGATTTCTGGGCAGGGCATGTCTCTCTTTGAGGTTGACTCTTTGATTTCCTGCTGAGTAGAATTTAAAAGGAGGAAGCTGAATGCATCTAATTTAAAAAATGTGTTGCAGATCATAAGAGGAACATGATTGGAAAAGACCTTGGAGTAAAAGAGAAGAAGGCTTTATTTAGGCTGAACACTTTAACACATATACCCAACACTCCACATATACATTAATGATCATTGCAGTAGTAAAAACTACTAGAAGAAACTACAAAACGTGGGCAAACAAGTAAGCCCTGAATGTACATTGACAATGAATATTAAACAGTTCACGTCAGCTCCTGGACGTTACACAGTTTAGCACTGAGTCAGATATGACTATAGCAAAGGCAATGAAGATGGCGGTGTTCGCTGGTGTTTACCATGCAGGGGGAGGGGCAGATGGTGAGGTGTTTATATGTATTTTTTTTTCAACATCCAATCAAGCATCAAATGTTTGGAAAACAGTTTTAGGTTAGTGGTTTGCAAACTCAAATCAGGTCTAAGAGTTCTTCAGGTTAGGTCACTGACAAATACGTCTGAGTCACGCTTCTTGCTTTAAATCAGCAATTTCACGTTTCAAAACAGCAAGTTTGAATTAACAAATCCTTGAGAAGTAAGTCCGAATCAAGTGTTCTTTGCTTTTCTGGAGCAAGATGTATAAGGTCCGAATCAAGTTTGACCCCATCCAGGTCAATTCAATTGTCAAATAAAGGCCACTAATGGCAATAGGGGAAACAAACATATTTCTATTCTATTCTATTAGTGCAAAACCTTTAGAAAAGTCTGAAATATTCAACAAAGATCTAATGCCAAATCAATGATTAGTGAGACCCTGGCAAGTTGATGAGGGGTACGTTCTAGTCAAAAGTCCAAATCTAAATTCTCTTATGACTCATTAAACATGTTTGATCCTTCGTTTATGGACTAAATAATAGCTAATAATAATTTTGGAGAAAAAAATGTTAATTACCACTGTGCATTATTTATAAAACAAATTAAAAATGTATCATATTAATCTATTAGTAATACAAATATACATTTACGTTACAAAAAAGGTGGCAGAGAAAGGTTCCTATCAATTAGTGCTGAATACTTAATGGGTAATTTAACACCTGTTGATCCCTTTGCTGAAAATACTTTCATTTTGGGTTAAGAGGGTATTGTTCTTATTTTGAGGCAGAAGAATTGAAAAAAAGAAAAATATAAATAATAAACCATGGAATGCATCTGGGTGTAATTAAAAAGCTTTGTTGTTGGGTAAAAACCATTTGATCCAATTTATATCAGATTTATATTTCTAAATAAAGTAAGTAAGAAGTGTTTTTTATTATTATTATTTAAAAAGGGTAGGGCTTTGCAATGAGAAAACACAATGGAGAGTTATGTAAGTTAGACAAAACAACACCCTTTGTGGTGCTTAGACCCTGAAAATTATTTTCTCAGGTTAATTGGAGACAGAACTGTGTGTATTATTTTTTTCTGCTGCCTCATTTTATCTAGTTATTCTCTCCCCTATCCAGGACAATACCTTGTATGTCTGTAAATACAGTCCTCTCTATATTTTACTATACTTTTTATATTAAAATGGCACGAAGGAGTTTATTCCCGACAGAAGACATATTCAGTGTAGCTTGTCCAGATCTTGTCCTCGTTTGGATCATTGCTGGTGTATGCGCAGGTGCCCGTGGAGCTGCAGGCCACCATATGAAAACCCGCCTCTGTCAGCTTGTCAAACGCCTGCTCCAGAAAATTATACTTGAGGTAATAGCGGGAGGTGTATCTTTCCGGGGGCCTGTCCGGGTCCCTGCTCTCGTTCAGCGTGTCCCCGAACACCTCCTTGGCCAGAGAGGTTTTACCGCACACGGTGATGCGCGCCACCCTCCTGAACTTGGCATCGGTCTGGATGTCTCTGCCGATCGTGTAGGAGCCGCGGTACCCTATGGTGATGTAGCCGGATTTTCTGGAGTCCAGAGACGGGGAGCGCATGGCCCCGCTGGTGGACAGGGCGCGTAATGTCTCCCCGGAGGAGCAGCACTGCGCTGCGTCCTCCGTGTCGCTCTGGCTCACATCCTCGCTGATCGAGTTGTCTTTACTCATCCGCGGGCTGAGGCGCTTCGCCAGGTCCCGCAGCAGGAAAAAGTCCGCCTCCCTCTGCAGGCGGCTTTTCTCCGGAAAATAGTCCGGCAGAACCAGGTTCAGGTCTCTCAGGTAATCTAGGATGTATCGGAACAAGAAGCCGTCCCTGTCTAAGAAGAAGCGTCCTTTGCTGTCTCTCGCCAGCTCCTTGGGGGACTTCTTACTGAACATGTTCCACAGGAGAGAGTCCGGTACGGCGATCAGAGTTTTGTGTCTGGTCACATAAACCTGTCCGCCGACGTTCAACTCGATGATCTCTGAGAACGGGGAGCCAGACTCCCCGCAGCCGGACGCTGCGCGCTCCGTATCGGCCAGTGCCATGTTCTGTGCGCCGCTGTGCGCTGCAGCAGGAGGATCAGTGGAGGTGCCACTGACAGGCAGCCTGCTTATGAAGCCTGGGCTTACCATGTGCGTGTGTGCGCGTCCATACAGAGGTGACTGATAAATGAACATTTAACTGTTGAGATGCTGCTGTAGGGGATGCGGTGGTTTATTGCCCACTCTAGAATATGGACAGACAAGGATGGAGAGAGGAGGAAAGCCAATGTCTCCAGTTTCCACATTGGCACCACCATCAAATTTGAATATAATATGACATAAAAGTTCATTTATTTCAGTGAATTAATTCAATTAAACTGTTCAATTCGATAAATGCATTAAACACTTTTTTAATTTTATTATTTCAGCTAATCCAAAATACAGTTTGTGTTTTATTTTAAGAAAACAATCACATGACAATGGAAAAAGGATTTATTTATTTATTTATTTTTTGCTATAATCTACTTAGATGTTCCTCTTTTCATATAAAGGTAGGTTTGGCATTTCAGATTAATATCCCAGTGTTTAGAGGAAGGAAGATAAAAATCAAAGTAACATGAGGTCCAGTGTTGAGATGGTGTTAAGACCAATAAACTTTGTCTTATATTATCAACAATTTGATTTTACTTTATATTTCTCAAGATAAATCAGTGTCCTTCTATGGGTTAAATGTGTCACACAAATTGATCAATCTGTTATTTTATTGTTATTATCTGTTATTATTTTTTTGATTAATCGGATAGCCAAAGGTTTCTTAAAAAATATTTTTTTTTCTTTTTGATTTTCACAACTTTATGTAAAAATTAACAAAAGTTAACAAAAACAGCCCACCCCAAAACAACAAAGAGCATTGCAGTGTCCATATATAAAAAATAAATAAATAAAGCCTACATACATTCTACACACACAAAGTACAAACAGACATTCCCAGTCATGGTTCACCATAGTTGAAACCGTTGGACAGCCACATGAATAATATACTGAGTGTAAAAAAAGAGAAGGGAAAATGATTAAAAAAAAAACACACACACAAAAAGAAATTACATTCTCTGTAAGAAAGATTGCAGTGGGTTCCAGATCCTCTGGAATTTGTCAGACTCCACATATCAACTGTAGGGGGCTGAGGTGCTGACCATCTCAGTAATATACGTTTCTTGACCAGAAATAAGAGAATGACAAGCAAACGTTTAGTATCTGCATAAAGTAGAGTGTCTGAAGCATGATTAAAAAGACAGAAGGAGGGAGTAAATGAGAGCTGTTTACCAATGATCTCTTGTATCATAACATGAACTGCTTTCCAAAAAATTTGAATACAATTACAAGACCAGAATAAATGAATAAATGCCCCCCTATGTATTTTGCATTTATGACAAAGGTCTGAAACATCAGGAAACATACTAGGTCATGCTCCCACACCAGCTTCATAGCATCATAACCTGAGGAGTCAGAGCCCGACAGTAAACTATAAATCTTAGAGATGAGTCCTTTAGGAGATTTGGTCATGGCAACAATATTCTCTAACTCTGACAATTTTGTGTGTAGTTTTCCTGTCAAGAAGATTTTAACAGGAAAAAAAAACAGGTGAAACTAAAACATTTCCACTTGAGGAGTTCTGCATTGAGCATATTGAGACTGAAAAGTTTTTCTTTATCCTAAATCTAAAATGTTGATTTTTGTTTTTTTACAATTTTGATATAAATACTGCTCTAAGTGGGTTTCTCTGTCAGCTAAATGCCTATTTTACATTCTCTATATTCCAGTTAACAATTAGTCAATTACTAAATTAGTTGATTATTTCAATAATCGATTATTTATGAATAATCCAATGAATTGTTTCAGTCCTAATTGTGAGAATGTTTTCCTTTAGTAATCATGCAAAAGGAGTACTGACTTACAGTCTGATTTGAAATTAGGCTGATTTTGTCAAAAGCCCTTTTATGCCTCGGGTTATTGTTTTTTTCATTATTTTTTTAAGTTTACATTTTTTTATCTGCAAGCCATACTTATTAAAATTAATAGAAATAAACGCATCAAAACCACCACTAAACCACTTCATTTATTTTAGCTAATCAGGTAAAAAATATATTCTAAACATGGCAATAAAAACTATATATTTTCTTAGAAGCATCTGCATAATATTGTGGAAGAAGTTTATGTATTTATTCATGAATGCTGAGGTCCTTTTATATCCTCCAATGCTTTTCTCTAATATATTTGATGACCTATGACCTCTGGTTTTATTGTGGCACCCAGCTATTGAAACATGCTCCCCTATCTGGTCATCACAACCAAAATATGCTACGGTTATGTTGTTGTTTTTTCAGCTTCTGCTAATTTACCAGTGAGTCATTATTCTTCTGTATTACTGTCAGCACAGAGCTGCTTATCTTCCCCTGATTACTTCAATTATCAAAGAGATGCCCAGATCACTTCACAAGATATTTGTTATTTCTTTGAAGAAATGATTATAAAACATTGCAAGAGTGCCACCCATTGTCCTGGAGATGTAAATGCAGCCTCCCCACCAGGAAAGAATAAAACTAAATGTGCTCAGAATTTGGAGAAGAAAAAACAGCAAATGATTGACCTTAAGGGGACTTGCATCAAAAGATCCTCAGAAAAGACAGAAAATACAATAATAATTATAATAATGAAGGTATGAGGAGTCCATATTATTTAGCAGAAGATAATGTACATAATGAGTTATTTCAAAATGATTTTACATACTGTTTTAAATGTCTTCATCTGATTGAATCGATATACAGGTCCTTCTCAAAATATTAGCATATTGTGATAAAGTTAATTATTTTCCATAATGTAACGATAAAACTTGAACGTTCATACATTATAGATTCATTGCACACTAACTGAAATATTTCATGTCTTTTATTTTCTTAATAAGGATGATTTTGGCATACAGCTCATGAAAACCCAAAATTTCTATCTCACAAAATTTGCATATTTCATCCGACCAATAAAAGAAAAGTCTTCTTAATACAAAAAAAGTCAACCTTCAAATAATTATGTACAGTTATGCACTCAATACTTGGTCAGAAATCCAATCCTTCAATGCGGCGTGGCACAGAGGCAATCAGCCTGTGGCACTGCTGAGGTCTTATGGAGGCCCAGGATTCTTCAATAGCGGCCTTTAGCTCATCCACAGTGTTGGGTCTTACGTCTCTCAACTTACTCTTCACAATATCCCACAGATTCTCTATGGGGTTCATGTCAGGAAAGTAGGCAGGCCAATTGAGCACAGTGATACCATGGTCAGTGAACCATTTAGCAGTGGTTTTGGCACTGTGAGCAGGTGCCAGGTCATGCTGAAAAATAAAATCTTCATCTCCATAAAGCCTTTAAGCAGATGGAAGCATGAAGTGCTCCAAAATCTCCTGATTGATAGCTGCATTGACCCTGGCCTTGATAAAACACAGTGGACCAACACCATCAGCTGACATGGCACCCCAGACCATCACTGACTGTGGGTACTTGACACTGGACTTCTGGCATTTTCGGCATTTCCTTCTCCCCAGTCTTCCTCCAGACTCTGGCACCTTGATTTCCAAATCTAAAATTCGCTTTCATCCGAATAAAGTACTTTGGACCACTGAGCAACAGTCCAGTGCTGCTTCTCTGTAACCCTGGTCAGGTGCCTCTACCACTGTTTCTGGTTCAAAAGTGGCTTGACCTGGGGAATGCGGCACCTGTAGCCCATTTCCTGCACACACCTGTGCATTTGTGGCTCTGGATGTTTCTACTCCAGACTCAGTCCACTGCTTCCTCAGGTCCCCCAAGGTCTGGAATCGGCCCTTCTCCAAAATCTTCCTCAGGGTCCGGTCACCTCTTCTTGTTGTGCATTATTTTCTGCCACACATTTTCCTTCCCACAGTATTCCCACTGAGGTGCCTTGATACAGCACTCTAGGAACAGCCAATCATTCAGAAATATCTTTCTGTGTCTTACCCTCTTGCTTGAAGGTGTCAATGATGGCCTTCTGGACAGCAGTCAGGTCGCCAGTCTCACCCATGATTCGGGTTTTAAGTGATGAACCAGGCTGGGAGTTTTAAAGGCCTCAGGAATCTTTTGCAGGTGTTTAGAGTTAATTTGTTGATTCAGATGATTATAGCTCGTTTAGAGATCTTTTTCATGATATGCTAATTTTGTGAGATGTGAATTTTGGGTTTTCATGAGCTGTATGCCAAAGTCATTACCATTAAGACACTAAAAGGCCTGACATATTTCAGTTAGTGTGCAATGAATCTAAAATATATGAATGTTCAAGTTTTATCATTACATTATGTAAAATAATGAACTTTATCACAATATGCTAATATTTTGAGAAGGACCTGTATGCAGCCTCTGTGCGGTATGACTATCGTTTGACTTTCCACAATTCTAATATATTTTGCTGTTTCCATTTGGTCACAATGATTAGACAAAAATGGTTTATCCATGCAGTTTTAAGGGTCAGAATCTGACCTTTAAAAGCAGCTATAACCCCATGTAAATTAGCATGAGTTAAGAAGTCTCTTGGGAAAAAATGAAATTTTTTAATGAAGGAAAACCCTTTCAGATGACTTTGTTATGGGTTTTTTGTTTTTTTTTTTGGGGGGGGGGGGGGGGGGGGGGTTATCCCTGATTTATGGACAAATAAGTTAATTAAACTATTGCTTAGGGAGATTGTTTAGGATAGGGAGAGAAATACACATATATACCAGACATATGTGCCTGTCCTCCTGAGTGATGTTAAGGTTTGACAGCAAAAAGAATGAAATGCTGAAGTGCAATTTGAGGTTTAAACAACAGAGGACTTTTTTGAGGAAGTTGGGAACTGGATTGCTCGAAAGAGGAATAAAAATCATAGCATATGTTCTCTGAGCCAATATTTCTTAGGTGTCTTCCAGATCAAACATTAATGAAATATAATCTAAATACGCATGATGTCTCATTACAGAAAACACAGTGTGTGATTTTTGTGGAAAGACTAATGTGGAAACAAACTTCTGTCCAGCAAATGATAAAATATGATTGGGAAGAAAATGGAAAAATAAAAATAGCTCATTTAAAGTTTCTAAAGGCTGTGGAACCTTGTTACTGGATGTATTCAGTAAAAACAAGAACTGTAAGGGAAAAATATGAAAAGGGTATTGATCCAGGTAATTATCCTAATATTAACTTCAGTACTAAATCATTTCCAAAACTTGTCTTTTTTAATTCAGTGGTTAAAGATTAGTATGGGGCTTTAAAATGCAAACATTTATTTTCACTGAACATTTATTAATTAAATATGCATCCAGAAAGATTAAACAACAACTGAAGATTATTTACAGGATCTCTATTTTTAATTCAGATAAAGATGTTTCAATGGCTTTAAAATTAATTACTGTTTTTTTAAAACCAACTTAATTTTGAGTTTATGTATTCAGTGGGGAGAAAATAACACATTTTGACACATGTGTAATTTTACTTTACATTCTTGTTAATTAACTACCATCATTGGTGCTTCTGCTCTTCCTGCTTCTATAAGGACAGCTGTAAATGCTATTCTCTCTAATATTGCACAAGACTGGAACATCAATGGAGAAGGACTTTTGACCATTCCTCTTTTTCTTTACATCATGCTGAGGGTTGGATCCACTCTCATGCTCTTTCCTCTCACGTCTCTCCCTGCAGCGTTTAGGTCAGATCACTGTGGAGGAACGGTGATTTAGTAAATAAGTGCTCTCCTTTTTTTGTTTTTTAATTTCCTGTGATTTCAGAGCTTGGGATGATCCAATTCCCACCTCTACCAATGCACACAGTGCTGCTTAAAGTGATACTAGCACACAATTAAAATTAGATAAAAAATATATTTGAAGGCTTACTTACATTTTGTTTAAAGGATATTAAAAAGAGTGATTCTTTTTTTATTATTATTCAATACATTTATTAAAAATGTATCAAAGATTTCAGGGTGAGATTATTTTCCTGCGAAAAAGAAATTCTAAAGCATATTTTATAACTGAACTTTTTAAACCGCAACTTGTCATTTCTAAGATTGCATCATTTTACTGTGATTTTTGTAAATCCTGTTCAGTCAGACATCTGTTTTATTGACATCATATAACATAAACCTTCAAAGTATTCTATTTTTTGTAATTTTCTAATTTCGTCCATTTCCAGCCTCTGGTCTAAGCTGGGTAAGAGTTCTCTTTTTAGCTGTTTAAAATGAAATGTGCTTCGTCAGGTGGTTGTGGGTGTGTGACTTGTTTTAGACTCGTGACATGTTTCCCTTTGCAGAAGTTCCTATTTCCAAACACTGAACTTCAATGGCCTCTGATTTAAATAAAATACAATTATTGTAAAAGAAAATATGAAAGATAGTAGCAGGTTTTTTAAATACATTTCCCTGAATAAAAATCTAAAGTAAACTTTACTCAATGTCTGAAAGTATGTGCATTCATTAGGATTCAATAAAATTTAAAGTTGTTGCATTTCAAGCTTGAAAACATAAATGAGAAATTTACATACTTTTGAATCCAGATAATAAAATTCATTCTATAAATAGACCAAAAACAATTTTTTCTTCTCACTATCCACAGTTAAAACAAACAAAGATCTCCCTGTTTTGGGTCGGTTTAGATAATAACAATTATTTGGTTTTACCTAATGCCAAATAACAAGAGATCACATTATTTATTTAAGCTTTTAATGTTTTATTTCTTCCCTTATATTCACATTTTTACATACATTTAAAGGACACCTTTAACTGTATATTAAGTCTTTTCAGCCAGATTAAAATCACTTCTTTTCTTATAGGGGCACTCCAAAACGTTGACCTTGTTGTTCTGCTGTTTACTGACGGTCACTGCCTGTTGGAAGACCCATGTTTTCTCAAGCTTTAAAATCTTGATGATATATGTGACATGTTACTTATACATTTCTTCATAAGGGCATTTACATATGATGTCATCTAATCCGTGGAGCCTGTTAGTCTCTCCTACAGCATAAAACTCCCGCAGCATGATTCAGTCACTCCCGTTCTTGACAGCGATAACTTTCTGATGCTTGCGAGTTTCCCCTTTTTTTTCCCTCCCAAACGCAATCATTGTTAATATGGGCTAAAAACCTCAGTTTTAGTTTTTAATCCCCATCTCCAAAAATTATGTTATATTTCCAAATTGAATGTACCACTTCAGCTGAAGCTGTTGCCACAAAAGCAAAAGCAAAACATCTTGCAGGACGATTCTGAAAACGGTCAGATTAAAAAAAAAGTGATAAGGCAACATCAAGTCATTGTGAAAGTACACACTTCTCACCAGACAGCTGGATTTTTGCCACTCTGGAAATTTGGCAGACCAGCCCTCGGGCAGGTTATTTTACTATAAAAGACAAGCATCCTTTAAGTTGTTTCTTCACACCAGACACTGGCTGAGTGCAAACAATGCTGCGCAAGGTACTGCTGATTTCTGAGAGATTGACATTTTTCCAGCATTTTCTCTGCAGAATTTACTCCATTGTATTTGTATTTCAAAAATATTTATACTTAATCTAATTATTTCTCTCACATCTACATATATTTTAGTAACAATTAGTGTTTGTCTCTGAATTGCTGTGCTTCACCTTTGCAGGGTATTACAGAGAGCTTTGGAGCAGGAATCCATGCATTAAGGTCCTCTCAGCTGACAGATGTGGTGATAAACAGGAGCAAAAGGATGATGTTGGACACCCTGGGTGTAGGACTGCTAGGAACCAGGACAGATGTCTTCCAAAAGGCTCTTAGGTACAGCCAGGTAAAGCGAGAGGAGTAAAATCATTTGTTTTTCCAACACAACAACCATCTATCTAAGTCATAATTATACTGAGATGATCTCTGAGTAAAACCTGGAAGCTCCACTGTTTAGTAAAGATCATTTGTGTAAATTTTTTTGATTGCAGCACTTCACATCTGAATACAGGAGCAGTATTTGGGGAAGATCAGAGATAACTCTGCCTCCTTATTATGCTGCTTTTGTCAACGGCATCGCAGTAAGTTTGCCAATTTAGTATCTTTTGAAAAATGCCTCCGGCTCAAGCCTTTCCAAATTTTACATGTCAAAACCTCATTTATTTCATTATAAAATTTCAAAGTGCGCTTTAAATTGATATGTTATTTGTGCTAGTATAAAATCTCAATAAAAAAATAAATAAAATAAAAATCTCAATAAAAAAAAAAAAAAAAAACAGGGTTTGTGGTTTTAACTTGACAAAATAAAAATTTTTTTGCAAAGCTCTGTATAATTAGGATCTTGGATAACCTCTGTAACCCAAGGTTCACTCCATGGACTTTGACGACACTTGGCATCCAGCTACTCACCCCTCTGGAGCCGTTCTGCCTGCTCTGCTGGCGCTGGCGGAGACGCTGCCCAGCAGGCCTTCTGGTCTAGACCTGCTGTTGGCGTTTAATGTTGGCATCGAGGTGCAAGGGCGGCTGATGAGATTCTCCAAGGAGGCCTACAACATCCCTGAAAGGTGAAATCTTAATCAATTTTTACTTTGGAGCTAAAAAAGGCTCATTCTCAAGATTATTAAAAAGCACCTAAAGTTGATTTAAGACTATAAATTATGGAGGAAGTGAATTATTGTTTCTCTTTTTAATACTCTTAATTTTTTTTAAGTGAATTTTGTTCATCAGGGATTAGTGGGCCTTCAATTAACCTGGACATTTTTGCATGTTTTTCATGTTTCTGCCATAAATGTTCTAAAATTTTTGTCTGATTCTATGTGACAGTCTCTTAACAAAATAATACAGAATTGTTCAGTGGATCTGAGGGAACAGATTTTTGTATTTTTACATATCAAGTTGGAACTAAAGATTGTTTTTTTTTTCAATGAAACAATAATCTAATAGCGAACAGTCCCTTGAAGATAATTTTTTTTCAACATTTAAACCAAGTGAAACTAAAACTATTCCACTTGTGAAGTTCTGGATGCAGCATAATGATGGACAAAAAAATAGTTTTCTGTTTTAAAGACCAAACGTTATATTTTCTAATACATCTGGTAAATTGTAAAAGTGTTTTGCTCTGTCAGCTAAAGGCATTAGTCTGGATATTCCAGTTGTGATTAATTAATTACTAAATGATTTTAATAATCAGTTGGTCAGGATTAGTCCAAATAATTGTTTCAGTCTAGATAAAGCATAAATATTTGGAGCGTGTTTCTATTCAGCCCTCCTCAGTAAATGTTTCAGATAAACCACTCTGCCACTCTCTCAGGACTTTTGTAATAGGGTTCTACCATTTTTCACTTCTAGAGAAAATTTCAGTTTTTCTTCTGATTCTCATGTAGATTTTACTTGTCTGTGTAAACAATGAGTTTGCATTGATAAAAACTAAACTGTTATCGTAGCTCAGGCTATTCTCTTTCTTAAAGGTGAACCTCTAGTCTAAACTGTTTCACAGTCTTTTTTTAAGTGTTAGCCTTTGTTTGGCCTCATCTATTTTTCATCATTTCATCTTTAATACTCTGTGCAACAACCTGTTTCTTTATATTTGACACCCAGTGCAATAGCTATATATATATATATATATATATATATATATATATATATATATATATATATATATATAAATATCTATCTATATAAATACCCATGTAAGTACCCAGTGCAATAACCTTGTATAATAATCCTGCTATAAAATAGTCTCTTTTTGACTATTTGAGCTGATGTAACGAGGAAATTTCGCCACTGTGAGATCAATAAAGTCAATCAATCAAGGATTACATTCTGCTCCAAATACCAAGTCTTGCAGGGTGGCATCTGTTCACAGGCATGAACCAATCATTGTTGGTCTATATTTGGAAGGAAGAAGTCATCTGGTCCTCCAGTAACCCTTTGCTGTGTCTTTAACCCTCAGGTTTCATCCCCCCAGTGTTGCTGGAGTTATGGGAAGCGCCGCAGCCTCAGCCAAACTCCTCGGCCTGTCTCCTTCTCAGTGCAGTCATGCGCTGGCCATTGCAGCTTCCTCTGCTGGGGCACCTTTAGCCAACGCCGCCACTCAAACCAAACCTCTCCACATAGGGAATGCTGCTCGAAGAGGCTTAGAAGCTGCCCAGCTGGCAGCGATGGGACTGGAAGGAAACCAGGCCATACTGGACATGAATAGAGGTCTGGGAGTTTACTACAATGACTACAGCCCTTCAGCAATGCCAGACTGTGCTACTAATGCCTTTAAGTGGATTTTAGAAGATCAGGATGTGGCGTTCAAGCGCATCCCTGCTCATCTGGCCATGCACTGGCTGGTGGATGCTGCTCTGTCTGCCCGTGCAAAGCTCCAAGAGACAATCTTTGACCTCAGCCAGATCCAACGAGTCACCCTCAGAGTTCCTCCATCCAAATACATCAACTGCCCCTTACCCACCACAGAGCATCAAGCCAGGCACTCATTTCAGTTCAACGCCTGCTCAGCCCTGATGGACAACAGTGTGACGGTAGCGTCCTTCGACCAAGATCAAATCAACCGGCCTGCTTTGAAGGAGCTGCTGTCTAAAGTCGAGATCGAGACGCCTGCAGATAACCAACCGAGCTTCGACAACATGTACTGTGAGGTCCAGATAGAAACAGCTCAGGGGGAAAGCTGCACAGCCAGGTGTAATACCTTTTATGGACACTGGAGGAAGCCACTGAGTCAGGAAGACCTGGTGGAGAAGTTCAGCTTGAATGCATCTTCGGTGTTGAGTGCAGAGGGAGTGGAAGGAGTGATTGATGTGGTTGGGAACATTGAGAAGGTTTCAGAGTGCTCAGTGTTAGGCTCGTATCTGAGAATGAACAGCAATGCTCATCAGCAGGTGTACGGCATGAGAACAATCTGACTGGGGACAATTTCATACAGTGTGTCTGGGTGGAAAATTAAATTACAAACAATGTAAATATTTATATATTATATATAAGTGCTTGATGTGAAATAAACTCTGATGCAAATTGTTTTATTGATTGATTTATAGAATAAATAAAACCGAGAAATAAAGCCTTTTTTTTGTGAAACAAATGAAAAACCAACATGATTAATCTGTCAGAATTAACCCCCAAAAAGCTAAAGGTTCAGGAGTTTTTAATAAGTTTCAAACATACAAGGCATCAGCTCATCTACAAACAGAACTTTGCAAATCTACCCTCCAGCATTCGTTTCTAGTCCTCAACAATCTGGGTGGGATCAGGCCAGCTTCAGGACACCCTGCACCATGGATCCGATTCCGTCAAAGATTTCGTGAATAGGGGCGTTGCACATGAAGGCGCAGGTGGTGACCAGCTTGTTCTTCTCGTCCACGTGGCTCTCGCCCACGCTCTTACTGACATGTTTACAGCCCAGCTGGTTGATGGCTGCAGCCGTGTCGGCAGTATCCGGGTACCTGAGCCGAGAGAGAGGGAGGGAAACAAAGTTTAAAGTTCTGAGAAATATGGAATTTTCAAAAGGAAAAATATTTAATGCGAGAATTTTCCTATCAGGGCCAACTTTCAGCCTGATCGTGCGTCGTGTAGTGTACAGGGGGTAACCAGGGGCGATCAGCCTCTCACAACCACCTCCTGATCAGGAATGGTGAGGTCGGGAGAAAATCAAACATGTTTGATTCTGTTTCTTTCTTTAAAATTAACAGACCATAGTAACCATCTTTTTGTCCAAATACGTTGTCGCCTTTTCTTTTTAGGGCTTTCAGCACAAAATTGCACAAGTTGCCAAAGCAGTGCGGTTTACTCTAATGAGCGTCATATTCCTCTTCTACTCGTTTGGCCTCCTGATAGACAAGTCTGAGTAGCGTCATCTCACTGCGGAACAGAGTCTGACACGGTTTTCAGACGTACAGTGTGAGCCGGTAGATCGCATCAGAGCATCGGGCTGAACATGCATCATGAGCTGTGAATTCACACTGTACGGTGGAACCCTGTGTTTGCAGAGTACGCCCGGCTTTAGCAGATCAGGGTCCCGATCCAGACCCGCCTCCTGCTCCTCGGACCAAATGTTATTTAAATCATGTGTCTAAACGTCACTTGCACCGCTTCTCATGTGTGTATGGTAAAGCTGTCCAAAGCGTCCGGCTCCAGGCTACACGGGATACAAATTAGCCAATGAGCTGCTGTCAGTCTGGGTTGCTGCTGCTGCTACTTTTAGACACAGCAGGCAAACCTGTGGCAAGCCGGTCGATGGGAAAGACGGAGAAGACAAAGAAAAAAAGAGAGCAGAGAAAGTGTGGACTGCTGGAAGAAGCATGGTGAACTGGTGAAAGAGAAGTGAAATGGCGTGCTCAAAGATGACCCTGCACATTTTCTGAGTATGTTTGGCTAAACCTGCAGCTGTGAAGCAGGATGGATCCAGGCTCATAATGAGCACCTTAATATGTGCTTGAGAATGGCTTTGTCTCCATTCAAACCCAGGTTTAAAGCCTTGAAGGGCAGCATAAAGCCCACTGCTCTCATTAAGACAGAAAACAGAAAGAAAAAGAAGATAGAAAAAAAATAATGTTCAAGGTTCAGGTGTTTTATAAAAAAAAAAAAAAAAAAAGTTAGCCAGGTAATTGTCTATATACCAAACTGAAAGATTGTTGCTCTGTACTTCAAAAACAATTTAGATTTTAAAATGGAAAACTTTCTGTTTTTTATATTCTTTATTCAAAAAGTCAATGTATAACAAGGATGCATAAACACCTGCTTTTTATTTTGATGTTAAATGCTGTTTAAAGTAAAGGATTATAATAAAAAATGTCTCTGGACCTTTATTAGTTGTTGATTTTGTTTAATCGGATGCCGCTGATTTTTAATTGGTTACCCCTGGTATAAATTATTTATATTTAACTAAATAAAACATCCCTGCAGCTTCTTTTAAATGCCTCTGCCTGAGCTTGGAACAAGTTCTCTGGGTTTTCTCATAGAAAACTTGCTTCTCATCAACTTTACTTACTTTTTTTTCAAACCACTTCCTTGTTACATAAAACAAAACTCTTGTGGCCATTTAGCCTCACTGGTCTGAACGTTGAGAAGAACTTGGGCTCATTAGTTTGGTTCTGTGGCACTTTCACACGGAGTTAAGAGGAAGGAGAAACAAACAAAAAAATAAATAATCCAAACCTGCAGTTAGGAAATTAATCTCCATTACCTTTCTTATGATGTATTAAGTGTTATTAAGTATTTTTACAGTCAGGATTGGGCAATTCTTTCATTCCATTTTTTTCTGGGTGTTTTACTGTCTGAAGCCACTGAGACTCACTTGTCGTCCTTCTCGATGCCGACGGTGACCTCACACCCAGGAAGCACCTTGGCTGCCAGGACGGGCGAGATGCAGCAGAGGCCGATGGGTTTGCCTTCGCCGTGGAAAGCCTGCAGAGCCGCCTTCACTTCCTCGTTTACAGAACAGTCCTTCCCCTGCACTGCCCACGTACACAGGTTCTTTGCTGCCCCAAAACCACCTGAAAAATAACAAAACCAGAGGGTTTTGGACAAAAACTTTCACTTCCACCACCCTCCAGGCCAACTTCTGAAAACAAACAAACCCGGGAATATGATGGCATCGTGGTCTTTGACGCTGAGCTTGGACAGGTCCTGGATGTTCCCGCGGGCGAGCCGTGCGCTCTCCACCAGAACGTTTCTCTTCTCCCCAGAAGGTTCACCTTTCAGGTGATTCACCACGTGCATCTGGTCGACGTTGGGAGCAAACATCTGCACCTGAAGAAGCAGTTAGCAAACATGGTTCAACATTTGCTGGACTATATAAATAAAAAAACAAATGAGAACATAATTAAATCGAATGGGAACCTCACTAAGTTGAAGAAAGAAAGTGATTTCTATTTTGGCTGCAACTAATGATTATTTTGGAAATTGATTAATCTGTTGATTATCATTCAATTAATCAATGAATAATCAGATAGCCAAAGGTTCCTTAAAGAAGATTTATTTTACGAAATTAAAAAAAGTGAAATTAAAATGTTTTCACTTGAGGAGTTGGGGATAGAACATATTGACAGATGAAAAAGGTTGTTTTTTTTTATCTTAAATGCAATGTTGATATATATATTTTTTTACAATTCTGATATAATTACTACTCTAAGTGGGTTGCTCTGTCAGTTTGAAGGCATTTTTTACAGTCTCTATACTCCATTTAATGATTTTGTACTAAATTTGTTGAATTTAAGTTATTTAAATTATTTCAATAATTGATTAATCATGATTAATCTGATTAATTGTTTTAGCCCTAATTTATATGAAATTTTAATACAAAGCCCTCAAGGCCCTGTTTATTCTGAATTTAAAGCAAGGAGATAGCAAAATTATCCACCTTGGAAGGATGTTTTACAGCTAAAAAAAGGTACCAACTTAAATATAAACAAATGGATCAACAAGCAAGATGAATGCACACAGGATAAACATCGACAGGGCACAATGATTGGATCGCAGGTGATTTAGAGCAGAATGTTGCATAGTCAGCTTTAAACCTGAAGTAGCTCTTTAAAGCGGACAGGAACAAACGGTATGAGAGCCAGCATAAAAACTTGGCTTCAAAATGAAAAGGATTTATAAATTAAAATCTAATAAACCGTTCAGAAACCTGCAAGAATTTGTGCAACTGGATGTTAAAGTTTCAGGTTTCAGTTTAGAATGCTACCAGGAGAAATGGAAGCAGGAGACAAAAACCTTTGAGCAAGCAATTTACCAACAAGTAACAATATAAATTCGGTTCATATTAAGGGAAGTAACCCAGGAAGTTAAAGGTAAATAAAACTTTTTTTTTCTACTGGAATAAGATCAAACTCAGGTTGGATATTTGAGCATGCTTCATCAGAAATGGTGGAGCATATTTGACAAATGGTTGACAGTTGTCTTTTGTATCTCTGCTTCCGTCTCCTTGAACCCCAGTCGGCCTCGGCAGGTGGCCGCTCACACTGAGCCTGGTTCTGCTGGAGGTTTCTTCATGTTAAAAGGGAGATTTTCCTCTCCACTGTCACTACAAGCATGCTTAGTCTGAGGGATTGCATTCGAGTCAATCAGTCGATGCAATCAACTGGTTTTCCTTAGAAAGAAAACTTTCAATCCATATGACTGTATGATCTGGTTGAACTGTAAAGTGGCTTAAATTACATGTGTTGTAAATTGGCGCAATATAAATAAACTGAATTGAATTAAATATTTTAACTGGCCTCCAGGCTGCTGTTTGAAGCTAAGCTGAAATGTGCAGCAACTCAGTTTTTCATTGTTGTTGTTTTGTTTTTTGTTTTTTTTCGGGGGGTGGTTCAAGGTGAAGGTCCCTAGTGTTCTGCTCCATAGCAACATCCTTCTGGTGTTCATCAAGGATAATGATACCAAGCCCTAAACAGATCTGGTATTTAAACGACTGAGCTGGCATTAGGCTTTTGGTAAGACTGGGTCCCTAAATCCCTTTTGGTAAGACTGGGTCCCTGAGCAGGACCCCTAAACCCACCCTTATCCCCAAGGGGATGGGTTAAATGCAGAGTGAATTTTGTTGCTTTATACTTATGACAATGTAATGACAATAAAGTTGAATTCTATTATATTTTATTAAACTGATTTAGCTTAAAACATTAGCTTTAATTTGTTTAGTTTTTTAAACTGATTTATGTTCTTAGTATAAGGGCCATAAAAGGGTGCAAGACCAAAACTAGAAAAGTCTGGATAAGTCCACCCCTTCCAGGCCAACATCTGTTAAGAGAGAATGAAAACAGGGGACTGGCCTCTGTTGATCCTAGTCTACAACTGCCCATGCTTGTTCTAAAAAATCTATTAAAGTTAGAGGGTTTTCTATAAAATCCTTTGAATAAATCAACAAAGGCCCAATGAGAAGCAAGCCAGCAAATTCATTTATTCATTTAAATATTCAAATCAGACCATCACCAACACTGCTGAAACTTAATTAACTACTTCTGTGTTTCCTTCATTTAGAAACCAACAACAGTAGTTTGTACTTCCTGTAGTCAAGTTAAACTTCATGAATGTCACTCAGTGTTGCTGAGCAGCTTATAGAGGTCAGGCCACAAACAAGACGATTACCACAGTAATAACTACAATCTGAGACATTGCATCATTCTGATTAACCGCTGATGTGGTTAATTTTAGTTTCTGGTACTTTTTCCAGCCTCCGCTTCACACCTTAAACCACCCTCGCTCAGATCCTACAGATAAGGCAGACTTACAGTTGCACCTCCTCTGCTCAGATGGACCAGAACAGCAGAGGCCTCATGGATTTCACTTCCATCATAAACCCCGCAGCCTGCCAGCACGACAGCTACACGTTTAGCCATCTGAGAGGAATAATAGCTTTTATTCAGAGTCTGGACCGAGCTGAGAGTGAGCAGGCAGCGGCCGCTGTGACGGAGAAGGCTGAGCAGCATGGCGGACAGCAAGCAGAGGAACGCCCCTTTCTAACAGCTTCTTCTTCTCTTGTATATTTACAGGCGGGTTGATGGCGCTCAGAGGTACTGTTTACTCACCACCGCCCCTTGTGTTTAATCAGGCGCATCGCCGCAGAACTTAAAGTTCGTCTCACAGCCTGTGAGCTCTCTGACCAAAATTTCAGCCTGTGCCAGCTATTGGTTGTTTAATCTCTCACTGAAAACAATCGCTTAAGGCATATTTCAAAGTTTTTAATGATTTCTAGCACTTTTTATCTATATTTATGAACATATTCATTAAGTTATTTTTAACTTTATAGTTTTTTTTCACTCTTATTTTAGAATAAGACATGAAATCTATACCTTTTAAGTAGAACAGGTATAGTAGGAGAAGATATTAAATCAAGATCTATACTTTTTTTTTTTAACTTGTGGTTTTAACACTGAACGCCAATGCTCACTGAGCCTGACTGAACAATCCATTCTGTGGGATCCTCTCTGGTAATTTTCCATAATGAGGTCAGAACATTCAGTTAGATAAGCCACGCCCACTTTGGAACTGTGATGTCATCGTGAATTCTAAAAGAACCCGCCCCTGTTCCAAAATTACTTAAACACCCACAAACCCCACTCAGCTCACAGTTTCTCTAGAACAGCAGCAAGCAACAGGGCAAAACCACATGTCGACAAATCAAGACAGCAACACCAGGATGAGACCTCAGAGTTCAGAAAACAATTCAGATGAAGAACCAAAATCTTCCTGCTTTTCGGAGAGCAGTGAATTCATCACGACACAACACAGTTTAGAGTCCAGAACGGACAATGGACCAAAGGAAATACCCAACCATGAGAATTCAAGAACCAGGGTTTCTGAGGAAGTAGGACTCTCAACAAGCTGCCAGAGCCAGAAACGAAGGAGGAAAAGTGAAGAGCTAGGAATAGCAAGTGAAGATCTGGCATTGCCAGCCAAGAAAAAGATGAAGACCAAACACCTTGATGAGAACCCAATTACAAATTCATCAGCCTCCTCACTGGAGTACAGCACAGACAGCTACAGCACCACGAGACAACAGATTTCAGAGTCCGGTACAGTCTGTCAACCAAAGGAAAGATCTAAATATAAGAACCAAAGGAAAACAAGCAGGGTTTCTGAGATAGCGGAACCTTCAACAATTTGCCAGAGCCAGAAAAGGAGGAGGGAAAGTGAAGAGCTAGGAATATCAAGTAAAGATCCGGCACTGCCTGCCAAGAAAAAGATGAAGACTAAACACCTTGATGTGAACCCAAATACAGCTTCATCAGCCTCCTCATTGGAGTACAGGACAGACAGCTACAGCACCACGAGACAACAGATTTCAGAGTCCGGTACAGTCTGTCAACTAAAGGAAAGATCTGAATATGAGAACCAAAGGAAAACAAGCAGGGTTTCTGAGATAGCGGAACCTTCAACAAGTTGCGAGAGCCAGAAATTGACGGGGGAAAGGGGAGAGCTTCTAAAAGCAATGAAAGATCTGAAACTGCGAGCCAAGAAAAATATGAACACCAAACACCTTTATGAGAAGCCAATTACAGCTTCATCAGCCTCCTCATTGGATTCCAGCACAGATAGCGGCAACAGGACCAGGGGACAACAGAGTTCTGAGTCCAGTACAGACAGTGGACCTAAATATAAGAAACACAGGAAAAGGGTAGCTGAACCCTCAAAAGCGGACCGCGAAAAATACAAATTTCATGGAAAATATCTTCAGCTGGATAAACTGGTAGACAGAGGCTCTGTATCTGTCTTTGCAGGCTATCGTAAAGCGGATTACTCACCTGTGACCATCAAACGCATCAAAAATGTCGTATTGAAACATAGAGATGAGAACGGTAGAGAGCTCCCACTGGAGGTAGCCATCATGTTTAAACTGATGGATGAAACAGTGGAGCAGTCATTCGTGGTGTCGTTGTTGGACTGGTATGACCTGGACAACGAGGTGATTTTGGTGATGGAGAGACCCATGCCTTGTAATGACCTCGCAGGTTACCTCAAAGACCTCAGACGTCCCCTCGAGGACAAGGAGGCAAAGGTCATATTAAAACAGCTGGTGAAAGCAGCCATTCATCTAAAAAACAAAAACATCTTCCACAGAGACATTAAATTGTATAATATCCTAATTAAGACGGACTCAGAAGAGCCGCAAATCTACCTCAAAGACTTTGGGTTAAGCAGCTTTGGTGAAGGAAGACCACATTTAGATTATGATGATGAAAATAATCAAGCCCCAATGGACTGGTTCCTTCTAGGTAACTATACATCTGGACCCATAACAGTGTGGCAGATAGGAGTGGTCCTGTTTGACTTGACACACATGAAGTCCTTTGAAACCAAGGAATTACTTTTAAAGCGGCTACAGTTCAGCAAAAAGCTTTCAAAAGAAGCCCAAGATTTTTTGAATAAATGTCTGGAGCTTGACCCTCTGGAGCGACCCACCCTGGAAGAGCTGCTGGTTCACCCTTGGCTTTCATAAACTACACACAAAAACACAAACACACACACAATCACTCATAGATTTTTTTTATTTAGTTAGATTAGTATATTTTAGGGTTTACTTAGGGATGGGGTAAAATGCCACAGTGGGTAAGTGGTTTTTTCCAGGTGCCCCTTTTTTTATTTATTTGAAACCACATCTATTTTCAGTTTAACTCGATTTTAGGCTTTTCTCCGGGTGCTCCGGTTTCCTCCTCTTAGAAGAAACATTTTAAGGTGATATTGATATGTTTGGGTTTTCTCAACACATCTTGCCCATATATCATGGAGTTCATCATTACTGGGGATCTTTTTTTTTTTTTTAGTGGTGTAGTTCTCTTCTCTAATTCAATGCATTTGCCCGCAAGTGCAATGATCGCAAAAAAAATTATTTATCACTTAAAATTACTTTTAAATCCCCGACATTCGCTTAAAAAAGGACCCAAAAGCGTTACCTGCGCCATTTTTGTTGTTTTGCACACATTCCATAATTGAGGTTACCAATAGCTTTCCCCAGCTATTGGTAACCTCAGGGTTCGTACGGGTGCTGGAAATCCTTGAAAATGCTTGAATTTTGACGTTGTGTTTTCAAGGTTTGAAAAGTGCTTATATTTTGGATGAAATGCTTGAAAATGCTTGAAATTGTAACTATTTCTTTCGCAACAAATACCTATCTAACTGAATCGTGTGTTTATTAAATGGAGAAATAAAATGTTGGAGAGCCCGAAAATGAAACCTGCTCGCTTATGTGTGACTGCGATCTGCCAGTCTATTTCCATGTGACTCCGTCCCCATGAAACCACCACTGCGCAATGCCGGGAGGTTGTCGTTTCAATGAACATTGGCTGGAAGATGAAAAATACAAATTATGGATTAAATGGGGACAAACCCCACGAGTTGCCTCTTGTAAAGTCTGCAAAAAAGATGTGCAGTTTTTCACAATGGGCGAGTCTGTGCTCACTGAAGTAGCCTAGTTCATGTTAAAAATTAAGTTACTAGAAAGTTACTAGAAAGCTCCCTAGATGAGGAAAAATTAGGCGAAATCCATAAAATAAAACTAAACGAATATATTGAAAAACAAAATAAATGTTTAATTCAAAGCCTCCGAATTGATAACTTTGAACATAGCAATAAGTCAGGAAGTTTCTTAGCTATCAGCTAAAAATAAATAAAGAAAAAACAACTGTATTTGCAGTTAGAGACTCAATTGGTAATATATTACAGGATCCGGAGGGTATTAACAATGCCTTTCAAGATTTCTATAAAGCTTTATACACATCACAGGTAAATCCATCAGATAATGATTTCTGGATAAAATAACTGTTCCTTAATTATCAGAGAGTCAAAGAGCGACCCTTGACTCACCGCTGTCAACAGCTGAAGTTCAGGAAGCATTAAAAATCATGCCAAACAATAAAGCACCAGGTCCAGACGGGTTCCCTACTGAGTTCTATAAAGAGTTCTGGGACATTCTGGCCCCAACGTTCCACAGAATGCTGCAGGAAACTCTAGATAATGGCAAATTTCCAGTTAATATGAATTCTGCCACCATTAGTCTCCTGCTTAAGCCAGGCAAAGATCGTCCCATATCCTTAATTAATGTGGATATTAAAATAACATGTAAAGCTTTAGCAAAACGATTAGATAAAGTCACTCCTCTCATAATCCACCCAGATCAAACTGGTTTCATTAAAGGAAGGCAGTCAGAGGCTAACACACGCAGACTGCTGAATTTAATAGATTATTCCTACAGCAAAAATCTTAAATCCTATATATTGTCTTTAGATGCAGAAAAAGCATTTCAGAGAGTAAACTGGAAATTTTTATTTGCTACTCTAAATAAAATTTGGTTTTGGCAATTCGTTTATAAATTGGTTAAAAATATACATCTGCCCAACAGCCTGTGTCAGGACAAATAATCAAACATCTTCCAGCCTTTCTCTCCATAGGGGCACCAGGCAGGGATGCCCGCTCTCCCCCTCACTTTTTGCCATTTTCATTGAGCCTCTAGCTGCTACTATCAGACAAACAAATGTGGTTAAAGGTATAAAAGCCACGAAAATAGAGCATAAAATTAGTCTTTACGCAGATGATGTATTATTTTATCTCCAGCACTCAAATACTTGCCTCTCTCAAGTGATTACATTACTAGAATCTTTTTCAAAAGTCTCAGAATACTCTATAAATTGGTCTAAATCTATAGTACTACCAATTAATTGCTCTCTACACAATCCCTTAGGTCTACAACTGCAATTAGGAACTATCAAATATTTGGGAATTACTGTGTCATCTAAACTAGCTGAGTTACCAAAACTCAACCACATCCCTCTTTTAAAAAAAATAGAAGAGGACCTAGAAAGATGGAAATCGTTTTCGATCTCCCTTATGGGTTGGGTAGCCACAGTTAAAATGATGGTCTTACCTAGAATTAACTACTTATTTTCAATGATCCACAATAAACCATAACCCGACTGGTTTAAATCTCTAGATTCTTCCATCTCTAAATTTCTTTGGAAGGATAAACCACCTCATATAAGCTTAAAGACATTACAGAAAACTAAAGACAAGGGGACTAGATTTACCTAAGTTCCAAAACTACTACTTAGCAAATAGATTACATTACATCTCTAAATGGATAAAACATAATCCCTTAGATGAGCCCTAGATAGACACAGAACAGGAAATATGCAGTAATATCATAATTTCAGATTTGCCATTTATTAGCTCTAATTTCAAGCGGCACTCATGTTTTAAAAATATTAACATCAGCTCTTCCCTGAAAGCAAGGTGGGAATTTCTTAAGATGACGAAGTCATCACTTATCCAGTGCAGTCGTACACCCATCTGGAATAACCCTGACATTCTACAAAACAATAATATGATAAACTTTCCGTACTGGAAGAATAAAGGTATTAACTATCTAGATCCTTTATTTGAAGGTACGGAGTTATCACATTTGCTAGATTAAATTTGCAATATGGCATTAACAAAAATAAATTCTTAGAATATGAGCAAATTAAAGCTATATTTAGAAAAATTTTAAGCATATTGATGGAGGTTTACAAATTCCAACTAATATATCAGAGTTCCTAGAGTTAAACCCCCCCAAACTACTGTCTGAATTATACAGGACACTGACTAAACTGGATGATACAATATCTCTTCCTATTATGAGATGGGAGGAGGATTTATCAGCCAGCTTTGAACAAAACATCTGGGCTCAGATATGTCTAAGAACTTTTAACATGACTAGAAACCCCAATTTACAATTAATACAATACAAAATCCTCCACAGAGTGCACTATACAGGTCAAAGATTATTCAAGATGGGTTTTGCGAACTCTAACATCTGTCCACAGTGCACAGGCAATCATCCTGATAATTATATTCACGCGTTATGGTTATGCACGCCGGTTCAGAGGTTCTGGGTACAGGTATGTAAGGACTTATCACTGTGCCTGGGTTGTAAAATCTCACTTTCCCCTTCAGTTTGCTTACTGGGTGACTTTGAGGGAAGCTCTCTGGAAAAAAAATCAGTTTGCATGGCTTTCACTGCGTTATGTATCGCAAAGAAAACTATCCTCATGAATTGGAAAAGTAAGGATAAACTCAGCATCAATCAGAGATCTGTTGTTGGATCATATTAATCTTGAGACAGCATCTGCATCCCCATCAGACCGATCTCTCTGGGCTCCCTTGATCGACTCTATCACTTAGTGTAGTGGGGGGCTGTGGGGTGCGTCCTACGGGTCGCGGGGGCTGGTTCGGGGATCCTTGGTTCCTGGAGGCTCAGGTGGGTGCTCGGAGTGGGGTGCCTGGCGTGGCGGGTCTAGCCCTGGGGTCTGTTGTCCCCATCGGGGCAGGGCCTGGGATGCCTCGGGGGGTCCTACAGCAGCCGCATGCGGTGCTCTTCGGGGGTTCCTTGGTGGCGGACGTGGGTTACGGCCTGGTAGGTGAGTGGTATGAGTGTTAATGTAGGGGTGGGATCACATCTCCGGAGGGGGGGACAGGGAAGAGGATTTAAGAAGGGCTTCGGGTCTGGCTCCCTGTCTCGGTCCTGGTCTGTGCCGACCCCTGGTGGGGCTTCGTCCGGGTTGGGGGCACTGCGCGTTGTTTTTTTTTTTTATGTGGATGGACAGGATGGGGGGTGAATGGTGGTGTCAGCTCTGTGGCCGGTTGGCTGGTGGGTCCTGCCGCCGGTCCCTGGCTATGGTGGTGAGACTGGTGGGGCCCCCCTCTCCAGTGGAGCTCTCGAGGAACGGGGGTGCCTATTTGAGTCAGCGGGGGAGCTGGCTCCCTGGGAGTGCAATAAGCACCCCAGTCCTTTACTCCCTGTCCCCGAAATCCTCCCTCTGCCTGCTCCATCACACTGCCACACATGTAGGTTCTTGGGGAGGGGGTCGTTACTGAAGGGCCCCACCTTCTGATGACGTCCCCCACCCCAATTTTATTTTTAATTTTAGACACTTCCATCTACAACATTTTCACAACACACATCTATGTAGGGCATTTTCTGGGGGTGGGGGTCAAGGGCACATAAGGGCTCGGGATCCACGTTGCATTGTGGGACGTCGCGGTCATATTGACGGCTACGCAAACGTAAACATAGCTCTGACACAACGTTGTTGTTGAAAGAAGAGACAGAAGTAGAGAGAAAAGAGATGTTAAAATCCCGAAAAGGATCTGGAATTTGCCGGGACACATTAAATAGAGAAGCCAGGGACCGGTATGTTGACAAAATCAGCATTATTAATCATTTGGATCCATATAAAGTTCCAAACAATGAGTGGAGCACAGATGAGTGAGCGCCTATACTTCAAAACAGTTCAGAAGCTATAAGTCCTTGGAGTCTCATGTGCAGTTCATGAATGGATGGGTTCAGGAGCTGCACATCATAAAGCCAGCAAACAGTGGGAACAGAGTAATTCGTACGAAGGTAAGCTGTGATCAGACGGGCTCTGGAACCTGCTAGTTTAGCAACTGCTAACCGCTAGTGCTAACAACCACTCACGCATGTAATGTAATTTTAACTAGCTGCTATGTGTTTCAAAGATGTAGTTAGTAACGTTAACTGCCAACCCTCCGGGTTTCTCACGTATTTGAGCATTTTCCCGCTGCCGTTTTTATTATTTTCCTGCATCTTTAACTTACCAGAATGGAAATGCAGGGAACACACTCTCAATGACATTGGAATACTGTGGAAAGTTATGTTCGGTCGTCTTACAGCCGCGATCCAAGCTAGCCGACGACTCTTTATCTCTGACGCTTGGTCTCCATGGTTACGCGTCCATTCAGGAAAGCGGTGGAAAGTTAACCCATTTTCTATGTTTCCATGGCGATCATGCGTTGAGCTGTTACAGCCCACAATACAGCAACGGTTTACCATGGTTGAAATCAAGTTAAGGTGAAATTAATCAAATTAAAACACGGCTGAGAGGGAGTACAGTACCCGGTAGTCATAGGCAGTAGTCTGAGCCGCGGTAAAAGACGCATTCAACATGGCGGCGACGCGAAGTGCCTACGCCACGACGACGGGCCTCACCACGGTCGGCTCCCCCCATCCCCTCTCTCATTTAGACACTGAGGGTTCTGGGTTGTCGAATGGGGGGGTGCGCTCGCACCGCCTTTCTCCCGGAGGGGGGGTGAAAGACAAAATATTAACTCTTTTAGATGTTTCCTAACTTGTATATAAATTGAATAATTCAATGTGTACAGAGCGTCCAGAAAGGAGAGAATTAGTGAGAGAAACAAAACTCTGTCCACAGGACAACGATAATTTAAATGTAAGCTTTAGGGAAGATGAACAAAGCCATTCTCCATTACAGGATGGCTACAAAGCGTGGAGAAGACATGAATATATATCAGACAGCAAATTTTAAAGCAAATAAAGACTATTGTTTATTAAAACTATTCATATCTCAACAGCTCTGAAGTTTCCATTTGGAATTTGTGCATTTGTTCAACAAGGAAGACTGAAAAAAGTATTAGGCACAAATTCCAGGAATTCCTTCAACGGATCAGTGACAAAAGGCTCTGTTTTTTATGCATACAAATGATAAATCTTCAGCTTGAATTAATTTATTTATTTTTTTCAAAAAGGAGCATCTGTGGGTTCAGAAAAGTGTTGAACTTCTGCCCGATATTGGCATTAGTTTCTTGTATCGGCATTAGATATGTCATCTGTTCACAGATTTGTTAGCGAATTAAGCAGTTTCCAGTTTCTATCGATTGATGGATTGAATATTGATCTCACAGGGGAGAAATTTACCCGTTACATCAGCTCAATAGTCAAAAAGAAAGTGTATTATAGTGTTCATTTTTGGCCATTTTATGAATGTAAACATGTGCGAAAATAATTTAAAAATTACATGTAGCCTGCTAGGCTAACTAAGCTAAGCCTGCGGTAGTAGCAGTGGAACCCCGCCAGGGGCTCCGCACTGATGAAAAAGAGTGAACTGCCGCACCAGGTTTCTTATTCACAATGAAAGATTATGAGCAATTTATTCAAAACCGGTTGAAACGGTCTGCTAAATATTCTCCATATCATCAGGGGGTGGAGTATTCTTAAATAAATGGATAAAAAGGATGACTTAGAGATGTTTTACTATGTGATAAATTTGACTGGGTTTTTGATGAATAGTTTGGTCAGTTTTATTTAGCAGAATATTAAAGGGACAACAAGCTGAAACTTCAACATGTGGAAATAATAAAGTAGCATCAACAGAATGCAATTTAGGAGAAATTAGAACATTTTCGGAGCAAATGTTTAAAGCAAATGATGACATCTTTCAATTTAAGCAATATTGATGAAGACTTCATGAGTTAATGATGCTTATGGCACTTCAATATCAGGCCCAGGATCTAAAACTTCACTATTTTTAACTGCAAGCTGATTTAAAGATAACATTACAGAAGCTATATATTTTGGGGATGGGTAACCATACATTTTATGCACGAAGCGATAAGAACACCTCACTTTACTTCACCTACAGCTACAATCAATACTTTTGCTGGAATGCCCACTTAATATGGTAGTTTATTTGATATAACACATTTTTTGATCTGGTCAGAAGTTCAGATATGACAACAATTGACTGGTTCTGGGGATGTTGGAACACATTTTGTTTTTTTATGTTTTTTGTTTTTTTTATATGCTGTGGTGTAAAAATACACTATATTGCCAAAAGTATTTGCTCACCTGCCTTGACTCACATATGAGCTTAAGTGACATCCCGTTCCTAATCCATAGGGTTCAATATGACGTCGGTCCACCCTTTGCAGCTAGAACAGCTTCAACTCTTCTGGGAAGGCTGTCCACAAGGTTTAGGAGTGTGTTTATGGGAATTTTTGACCATTCTTCCAGAAGCGCATTTGTGAGGTCGCACACTGATGTTGGACGAGAAGGCCTGGCTCTCAGTCTCCGCTCTAATTCATCCCAAAGGTGTTCTATCGGGTTGAGGTCAGGACTCTGTGCAGGCCAGTCAAGTTCATCCACACCAGACTCTGTCATCCATGTCTTTATGGACCTTGCTTTGTGCACTGGTGCACAGTCATGTTGGAAGAGGAAGGGGCCAGCTCCAAACTGTTCCCACAAAGTTGGGAGCATGGAATTGTCCAAAATGTCTTGGTATGCTGAAGCATTCAGAGTTCCTTTCACTGGAACTAAGGGGCCAAGCCCAGCTCCTGAAAAACAACCCCACACCATAATCCCCCCTCCACCAAACTTTACACTTGGCACAATGCAGTCAGACAAGTACCGTTCTCCTGGCAACCGCCAAACCCAGACCCGTCCATCAGATTGCCAGATGGAGAAGCGCGATTCGTCACTCCAGAGAACGCGTCTCCACTGCTCTAGAGTCCAGTGGCGGCGTGCTTTACACCACCGCATCCGACGCTTTGCATTGCACTTGGTGATGTATGGCTTGGATGCAGCTGCTCGACCATGGAAACCCATTCCATGAAGCTCTCTGCGCACTGTTCTTGAGCTAATCTGAAGGCCACATGAAGTTTGGAGGTCTGTAGTGATTGACTCTGCAGAAAGTTGGCGACCTCTTCGCACTATGCGCGTCAGCATCCGCTGACCCCGCTCCGTCAGTTTACGTGGCCTACCACTTCGTGGCTGAGTTGCTGTCGTTCCCAAACACTTCCATTTTCTTATAATACAGCTGACAGTTGACTGTGGAATATTTAGGAGCGAGGAAATTTCACGACTGGATTTGTTGCACAGGTGGCATCCTATCACAGTTCCACGCTGGAATTCACTGAGCTCCTGAGAGCGACCCATTCTTTCACAAATGTTTGTAAAAACAGTCTGCATGCCTAGGTGCTTGAATTTATACACCTGTGGCCATGGAAGTGATTGGAACAGCTGATTCCAATAATTTGGATGGGTGAGCAAATACTTTTGGCAATATAGTGTAGGTTTAAAATTATTCTTTAGGTAATCCATGAATTGAATGTTATAATGTGTAAACCAGGGTTAAATGCTTTCTAAATATCTACAGGTTCCTTAAATGAGATCACATTAGTTGCAGTAATTTTGAGCTTATATGAACAAAATAATGAGCTGAAACATCCATAGAATGTTCAGGCTGAATACATACTGTTATAAATAACTTTCAACTGCCAGGCACTGAAAGGTAGGTTATGGTCATGTTTTTTTTTAATCGGTCTCCGCCAAGTGACGTCAATTGTTTACCTCGGGCGCGGTACACTACGCCTTTTCCACCTAAAATGGCGTCTTAGCAACAAATGTCACGTGACTGGCGAAGACCGATTTCCCTAAATCCGCCCCTGTTTTCAGGCTTATGTTAACTGTTATGACTTATCTTGGACAGGCTGCTATGTAAACAGGCCTTTAGTCCTTCGTTTAGCTATGCTGCGGTTGTTTACACTACGCCTTTTCCACCTAAAATGGCGTCTTAGCAACAAAAGTCACGTGACTGGCGGAGACCGATAGACTGAAACAATCTGCTGAATAAACATACAGTCTACAGATGTAGAAAACATACTGAATTTAAGGAGGATTTAAGGGATGAAGTGAAAGTAATTGTGGATAAGAACATCTGGTTGTGACTGCACTTAGATTTTGAGTAAATAACGAAACGAAAAACACTGACTGCACTCTCTGTGTTTTGGAGGATTCCGGAGGAATGGATTGCTGAACTGTGATGAGAACACTCCATGAGAACCACCACGTGGATTCAGCATCTATCTGCCATTGGACAGCATGGAGACCAAAGCGGCTGTGGAGGAGGCCATAGGAGACTCTGATTGATTAATTAGATTGATGAGTGATAGAGACACTGAAAGAATTCATCAGCGACAGTGATGTTCATCATTTGCTTTTAACTCAGACCAGGATAATTCTTGATTCTACCTAATTGTGATTTATATGTTTTGAATTATTTTGATTTTGTTTTGATGAAAATCATGGAAACATTTTGCTCTAGACCCACCAAGATCAAGTTTTATGCCACTTTTTCTTTGATGTAGAAAAACTCAGAACCTGATTGGCTTAACGGTTCTTTAAGTAGTTGGTAATGATGATAGTCAGATTCAAAACAGGTTTTCTTGCTCAGATTGGCTGAGAGTGGGATTTCCCTGGGGTCACCCCGGTTTTTACTACCTTTTAGAGAAGGTAGGGTTTTCCGGTGGAGAACGGCCCGACCTGTCCTGTGATGTCCCCTACTGTGACTGAATGATTGGTAAATTTGGATGGATGGTTTATCCATGGTGAGCGGTCACATTTAGGAGGCCTCCAGGTGGGAGTGAGAGTAGATAAATTTGGCCTTATTAGATTTATTGGCTTAGGTACTTCGTCTAAGGTAAATTAAAATAATGTGCACATAGAAAACTAAAATAGCCTTCCTTTAATTAGATGAAATCTAAATTGTAGCTAAATGCTGAAACTGTGGTCTTGAGTAATAACATTTGGTCTGTGAAGTTTTTGATTGTGATTACTTTTGATCTCTGATTAATGACACATCATCAATTATAGATGCTCTCTGAGTCACCTGGTGATTCAAAGATTAGTCGCTCACTGTGTTTTAAGTTACCTGTTAAAACGGTAACTTATCAGGGGGAGTTGTTAGGTTTATTCTTTATACATCATGTGCATTGTTAGTTTGTTAGCCATATTAGACAGAGTAGAAGGCTGGACGCTCGCTGACGTTTTTTGAGCCCACAGCTGTGCCAACTCTAAGCAATTTCTTTGCCCTGTAACAACCTGACCTGGAATAAACCCTGTTACTTTTTACTCCTGTTTTATAGTCCTTTTTTATATGGTTTTACCCACTTTGAACTGAATTTGAAATGTTTTATCTTAAATAACTGCATTTGATTCACACAGCAACAGTCACTTAATCAACTTGTCCATTGTGTTTTCCTCACAAAAAATGCACTTAAAGGGGAACACCGTTTTTTTTTTTTGTTTTTTTTTTACATTACATTGGTTTTTACATTTATTTTATGTTATTCACTCATGTTCTAATCCCCCATATGAGTATTGTGTCATTAGGAGCTGTTCTGAAGATATTCCGTTAGGTTATATCCACACATAATTAATTTTCTCATTTTTATAAGAACTAAATTAGGCAGCAATACGTAAAAAAATAATGCTTGAAATGCATATGAAAATAAAAAATAATGATTTATATTTTTTGTCGTTTTTTCTTGAATTTGATTTGTTTTCTGCATAAAATATACATCATATAAAGAATAAGATGAAAAATAATTTAAATTATCCTTTATTGTTTCACAGTGTGTACAATTGATCTATCTATCTATCTATCTATCTATCTATCTATCTATCTATCTTGTCTTCTTAAGACAATTATTACATTTCTGAACAGACAAATGCTGAATTAGCTAAAGTTATGAATTACTTATGTTAATTAGGTGACAAAGTAGTAGAAAATTAGTTAAAATGGCCAATCCCACCAAAACTTAAAGAAGCAACAACAAAAAAATTATGAATAGTTGTTACCTAATAGCAGAAACTCTTAAGAAAAGATTTGAATTTGACGTTGCAGCCCATGTTTTCCTGCTGTGAACTATTGAACATCTCTTGTATTCATGCAGTCACGGTCACATTTGGCAGAACCTACATATTTGATTGAGTACTAAAATAAAAAATATAAAACCTCTTGATAAAAATCAAATATTATTTATACAAAAATGTCATTGCTGAGGAAATATCTGACATGGTCAATACGATCATTATTATTCATGTATGTAAATGGAAAAATCAAAACCCTTTCCGTGATTAATCGACAAACTCAAAATCTGTATCCTTCCTTAATTCTGTCAGCTGACAGTTATGGAGAAATACAAAAAAAATGTAGAGAAATGTCACAATGTCTGGTGTTTTGACTCAAAAAAATGCAAAAGTTAACATGATGCAAAGAATTGTTTCATTGCTGAAGTGGGTCTCTCTCTGCTTATTGTTAAATTTAAATTCTCAAATTCATATTTAATATGTTTTTGTAATTTTGAAGATTGGGTTGATATGCTTCTACTGGTTTACTGTAAATGCCTTTACATTTATTGGGTTTGCTTCCCTTGCCTTGCTAAAGTTGATTTGATTTCCTGTATATAATTATTTGATGTCTGTTTTTTGTAAGAATAAAAAGTTGGGGTTCACATTTGAACATTTATTTAGTGTTCTGATGAATAAAGCTTTAAAAAATTTGGTGAGAAAGTTTGTTTTCCTCTATTTCCGGGTCTGTAACGTCACGTCAACAAACCCACGTGACCTCGTGAAGCGGAAGTAATCAGAAAGAGGAGGAATCATGCGAAAACGATCAGCGTAACTTGTCGAAGTTGATCCGTCCTTCTGCGCCATGTCCCACAGGGAGGCCCGGGTGTGTTTGAGGCTGCTGCTTTTCCTCCATGTCGCTTCTCAGTGTGGGACAGACGGACTGCAGCGGTGGCCTGTTCCCTACAGGTATGCAGACTGACAGATCACAATCACCGGATCATCCTGCTGTCAGTCATATGACTGCGGCCAGAATCGCTTCTTTGTTTTGCATTCACTTAAACCGGCTATGGAGGAGCCAAAATTAAGGAACAGAATAACAAAAAAGTAATAGTTATAATGGTTTTGTATGACTTTTAACTAATCAAAATCTTAAACTTTCATTTCATTTTATTAGATCACACCATAGTCATGAGTTAGAATGGCCTAGTCAAAGTCCATACTTTATTATATCTGAGGATCTGTGTTGAAGTCTGGAGTTAACTCTGGTTTATTTGGAATAATCTGCTTGTAGGGATTTTTGGTATTGCTTCGATATCAAGTAAATACAGGGTTATTAACGATTATACAGGCAGTTTTTTATATATTTAAGCTTTTTGTTTACCTTTTGGTGATTTAGGGATTTTTTAATTGCAATTGCAACATGGATGTTAAACAATACAAAGCTTCAAAGAAATGTCAAACAAAACCTTAAAACAATCAAAACAAAAAGTAGCACACCTATACATGTTGCTTGTTTAAACTTCAGCAAAGGGCTGTGACTCAGACAGGGAGACTTTAGGGAATCCTTTGCTGTAGCAGGAGAGAAAAATAAGGATTGATCTTTTTCCACTAGTGTCGTTTAAATCAGTTTCAGCTTCATCATAATCAGCTGTTCTAAAGCAGGGAAACCCTGAAACCTGAGGGACGGCGGCCCTCGAGGACCGACTTGGGGATGCCTGAATTAGAGCTTTCAGTGATGCTGAATGTAAATACACGCCCCCACCTTACAGATTTTTATGTATATACATTTTTTAATTAATTGCTACTTTTTGCTTTAGTTTATTACAAATGAACGCCAGTTAAATAAATTGGTTGTAATGTAAAAAAAAACACCCTTCAAAAAACAGGTTAGATGCAACTCATTAATGTTGAGCTGACTTTTCTTTAAGCAGGATAAATAAGATGCATGTAGAAAGCCAACTTTTACATTATTGGTCTCTGATCATACATAAATACATATCTGAAACAAATCTAATTTTATTTGAAGTTTGCATATCGTTCTGGGAACAATAGCAGATGCTAAACTACTGGATCAATGAATCCAAAGGAACCTGATCTCAATCTTCCATCCTGTCTCTATCAGGCGCTTTGACCGCCGACCTCCAGCTGACTCCTACTGTGAAGCTCTCTACCCTTTCTGCCCCACCGGAGACCGTGATGGACGGTTTCCCTACATCAGAGACAGTGACGTCGTCTCCGTTTACAGGCTGCAGACACCTGTGTGGGAATTCAAATATGGAGATGTGCTGGGCAAGTTTGTGAGTAACACCCTCTTACCGTTTCAAAAATGACTCTTTAGAGTTCAGGCTTTGATTAAACATCATAATTAGATAGAAAGACTATTTGTAGTTTACTTTTATACTCTGCAAAGGGCAAAATGATCAGATCAGCCACGACAGAAACCAAAGGGCGTCTGTTGGACTTTATTAATAGAAACACAGCTGCACAGCATTCCCACATCCTCTCTATAGCGAACCAAGCCAATGTTTCATGATTTTGCACGCAGCACATCATGCACGATGCCATCGGCTTCAGCAGTCTGGAGACTGGAGCCAACTACACCATGGAGTGGTACGAGCTCTTCCAGCTGGGCAACTGCACCTTCCCTCACCTGAGGCCAGACATGTCTGCACCCTTCTGGTGCAACCAGGGGGCCGCCTGCATCTTCGAAGGCATCGATGACCTACACTGGTCGCAGAACGGCACGTTGGAGAAAATTGGAGAAGTGACAGGTGAGAAATCTCTCCACATCTTTATTAGTGGAGAGATCTGCAAGCTGCAGATACAGCTTCCATTAAAGGTATAGTGGGGATTGTTCTTTTTCCGGGTGGATCATCAAAATAACTGGTCGTCCTAATTGTCAATCATTCTGGTGATATTTTTATGGTATGCCAGCTCAGTCATTTAAATGCCGTCCTACATGCTCATCCCCATTTTCAATTACCAGTGGTGACATAGTGGAGAAATTGCAACTCTTCTTTTGGAAAGTGAGCTCGTATGAGCAATGTAAACAGCAACTTTTAAACAGAGCGTCAGGAGGAGAAATGGGCTTGTGCATGCTCTCTGACGAGTTTAATAGGCGTTCCCTCTCGGGAGCAGGTACAGGGTTGTGCATAGGGCTGGGTAAAAAAATCGATTTCATTGACTTTGAATCGATTAATTTGCATTTTTGCAAAATCGATGTCTAGGGAATGAGATCGATTAGTTTTATAGTGACGCGCGTGAGCAGGAAAGATGCACTCAAGATTAGTTCAAGCCAAACAGCTGCAAATATAGCCAATAGGTTGATTAAAGACATTAAAATGCTTAACACACTTATTAACGCTTTTCACAAACAAGTTTGCACAGTTGAGACAGTTTTGTTCACATCTCACGTTTAAACTGTCCGATTTACAAATTTGCACTTTGTGTTTAATATGACAGGAAAAAATTAAATACATGAGTATTTTGATACACACCTGAATCACTTTCATTGTTTTAAAAACAGATCGAATCGAAATTAATCGATTTAGCACCGTATGAATCAAAATCTAATCAATTCAGGACTTTGGCTAAAATACCCAGCCCTAGTTGAGCTTGTGCATACCTTTAACTTAGAATAAATGTAGAGAGAAAAAAGTGTTTGCTCTTACAGATTGCTTCTTCTATTGCTTTATTTTATCTCTCTTAGTGAGGTTTTGATGGCATTAGTCCCTTTACATAATCCCTCTGATAAATATAAAACTTTAAAGTTGGAATAGTCTTTCATAGCTCTGTAACATAAATTAAATGTTATCAGCAATTGTTTTTCTTAAACCCTCATTTTTACTGCAGGAAGTCAGTTCAACGCAATGGCCCAGTGGGTGCAGGACGACAACAACACTGGGATCTACTACGAGACTTGGACGGTCCGTTCAGACCCCGGCCCAAACGCAACGGTTTGGTTCGAGTCGTATGACTGCTCCCAGTTCGTCCACCGCACATACAGGAAGCTGACCGAGCTGGGAGCCAAACTGTCCAGCCGCTCACAGACCAACTACACCAAGATCTACCTGTACAGCGGCGAGCCCACCTACCTGGGCAACGACAGCGCCATATTTGGGCAGCCCGCTCTAAAAAACCTTGCAGCGGACATTCGGCGGTTTTACCACGCATTCAGACCGCACCAGTCTATCTTCGAGCTGGCTTTCAGTCTGCTGGAGGCTTATCACGATGTAGTGTTGGACAAGAGCTTCTACCTTTACTATAACTTTGAGTACTGGCACCTCCCAATGAAACCTCCA